ATGTCATGGGCTTTGACCTGGGCCTCACACCACCACGAGAAGACTCGTCCCATGTGCCCACTCGCCAAGTCGCATTCGATGTGTTGCAACTGAGGTCACAACTCACAGACACGGACGTGTACATCGGCCCCGGGCATTTCTCCCATCGTTGGCCACTGACACAGTGGCAAAACCCCTTCCGGACAGGGGAAGGCAGGACTGCTATTGAGAGTGTCCTTCACTACGCCAGATGGATCGCCGACCAGGACCATCTGCTGGCTGACCTCCCATCCCTACATGGCAAGACGCTGGTGTGCGACTGCCCCCACAACGTGCTGTGTCATGGCGATATCATTCGTGCTCTGGTTTGGACTACTTCACGTCCTACGTCGACCTCAGGCCACGGCCATCCCGCTAGGGAACAGTTGCGACGGGTTTCACTCATGGCAGCCGGCATTCGCCCTGCCAGGGCAGTCCCGTTGCGCTTCTCTCAGGAGGTTGTGGTGGCCAGCCTCATGGCCCTTTGTCCAGATGTCAGTTGGGAGGGATTCCAGTGGCCTATGCTCGAAGACCTGCTAGTGGATGATTCGCACTACCAATGGCTCAACTACATGCAGAACCGCCCGGACTGGGACGGACACGCCTTTGGTCCACGGTTGGTGGGCCCATTGGAGCGCAACGCCATCGCGATGAGTGGCCTTCAGCAGCCCGGAGCGGCTGCTGCTGCTGCAAAAGCCTTACCGCCTATGATCCCCTTTGGCGTAGGGGAGGAGCGACATTTTGAACTTGCACTTGAGTTGCAACAGAGACCCACCCGATTTGAAACTATGGGTGTTGTCGATGATGATTTGATCTTTGCCGCATCTGGCTATGCAGCCCAGGGAGTGGGCCTGCGGGAGGTGAGGAGACGTACAGGCCGTTGGCTCCAAGAACTGAGCCGTCGAATGTGGCCCATCACATACCACCTCCAAACTTATCAGCCACCACCCGTGCGGTCCGCCACTCAAGGGCGCCACATCGCCCTGATTGGGCTTATCATGCTGATTACTGGATGGCCAGACACTACGTTCGTGGCTAACCTGATATATGGTTTCCCTGCCGTGGGCTTTTCCCCGCATGTGCCCGTGTACAAGGCTCAACCAGCTCACTACATCCCGGACGCCTCCATCTACCAGGACGCCCTGCCAGAGGCTGCCCGCATCATCCAAAGCCTCCGCCCAGGTGAACGCGACACGGCCATTGCCCAGGCGGGTGAGGAAGACCAAGCCAAAGGCTTTTGTGGCCCCCCAATGACATGGGCCCAACTATGCCAGGACCTCCCCCAATTCAGGCTGATCCGGAGGTTTTGTATACGACAGCCCTCGGGTAAGTTGCGAGTCATCGATGACGCTGCAGACGGAGGGCAGAGCGCACTCAGCTCGGATGCGAACAAGTTGGATCTATGTACGAGCATTCAACCTGGCCTTCATGTTCAATTGCTCTGGCAGGCAGCATCCTCGTCGATTCACGTGTCTGAGTTGTTGCAAGCTGGTATTTGGTCCGGGGGCGAAGACCTACCCAACGCCTACCGCTATGTCCCCATGAAGCCGACACATGGCAACATGGCCGTGGTGGCATACTACGACCACCACGTGGGTGGCCCCCGTTTTCGACAATACTACGGTTCTCTGTTCGGGTTACCAAATGCTGTGTGTTCGTTCAATCGATTTCCCCGGTTCTTTCAAGCTGCCTGCCGCCGCCTGGCCTACTGTATGACCAGTATGTACTTTGATGACCTGACAATCCAGGACTTCGGTATCATGGGCGGCACTGGCCAGGCATTCGTTAATGACCTGGCACGATGCCTTGGCTCACCCTTCCAAACAGAGAAACATCAGTCCTTGGCGGCCCAGTCTGATTTTCTGGGGCTGATCCACGACGTGGCTGCCTGCCACCGGGGTAATCCTGTCAAGTTCTGGGTCCGGGACCGATTGCTCACCAAGGTCACCGACATCATGGAGGAGGCCACTCAGACGCGTCGCCTCCCTCCGGGACTGGCGGCCAAGCTTTTTGGCTGCCTGGGCTTCTTGACAACGGGATGCTTCGGCAAGCTCGGCCGGTCGGGCCTCCATAGCATCAAGGAAAGACAATACTCCTCGCAAGTCGCGATGACACCGGAGATTGAACAGTCCTTTGCTAGAATTCGAGCTCTACTTCAGTTGAAGCCTGAAAGAGAATTACCGCTCAATCCAGTACGGCAACACCGATACTTGGCAGCATCCGATGCAGCGCAAGATAGGCCCCGCGAGGGCTCTGCGGGAGTCTTGTTCATTGACCCCCGTGGTAACCGAAGGGCCTATGTCGTCCACATCAGCCCAAAGATCTTCACGGTGTGGTCCCATCACGAGGCCAAGATTGCACAGCTTGAGCTCTTGACAGTCTACATGGGCCTGGCATATAATGCCTCATCAGTTCGCGGAATGCATGGTATATGGTTTGTTGACAATATCGCTGCCCTCATGGCTCTCATACGAGGTCGCAGCAACAACGATGAGCTGGATTCTATGGCCGGAGCCATCCATGGCCTTCTGTTTGCACTCCGTAGTGCATGCTACTTTGAATGGGTCCAGAGTAAGGACAACTGGTCAGACGGCATCAGCAGACAGGGAGAACACGACCCGTGGTTCCAACAGCATGATTTTCGTCTCTTCCACACCTACCCCCTGCTCATGCTCCTCCAGCTGCCCTACCACCTCATCGCTCAGGTCTTTCAGTTCGTTTGAGTGCTTTGGATAAGTCAGTGCCTTGGATGGAGTGCTCCCACAGGGAGAGTGTCAGATGTCAGATGACACAAGCGACGTGGGTCGCATTTCAAACCAAAGCACTTTAGTACAGACAGTACAGACCTGAATCGATTCGCAGAAAAGGGTAGCAGCAGTCGACATATGTTGAGCGAGATTCATCGAATATATTCAATCATTTAAGGTAGGCAGGGTCGGTGATGATGAATTATTTGGGAAGCTTCGAATCAACGTCTCCCAATGTTTGAATGCTCAAGCCAAACTGGGGAGACGCCCCTTGAGGAGCAGTGTCGCTGCTGGTACCTCAAGCTAAACTTTTTCTCCCACCCTGCCACACCCTGTTAGTTACTTTCATGTCCACCTGGGGCTAGTCGAGCTGGTGGCTGACTTGGCTTGTTGCCGGAAGAGTCTGGTTACCTGGTGATAGTCGCTTCACCTGTGGCCTTGCTGGTGCTGGAGGGCCGTATTCCGGGTTACTTTCAGTTACCACGGCTATGCTTGTGACGCTTGCAGCCTGGGCTGACGGCCACATGAGATTGGGACTGTGCTGTCTGCCGCTGTCGTCCGGTTGTCCTTTTCCGGCTGACCGCCGCCTAGCCATCATACCTGTTCCGTCGGTCCCAGGTATTGACGATGACTAGGGAGTTTTATTTAATCTTTTCATCGCTCTGTCCAGAGCTGGCATCCGTTGTGGCCGTAGGACCGCCCCTGCGGTATCCTCTCGGTCACTACAAACGGATGGAGTGCTCCCACAGGGAGAGTGTCAGATGTCAGATGACACAAGCGACGTGGGTCGCATTTCAAACCAAAGCACTTTAGTACAGACAGTACAGACCTGAATCGATTCGCAGAAAAGGGTAGCAGCAGTCGACATATGTTGAGCGAGATTCATCGAATAATCATACATTCTGCATCGGGTTCTCTCACAGCGTCCGGGGGTTGGGGGAGGTGGGGCTTATTCACGTTCCTGTCGGACGCTTGCGGGAAGTTCTCGAGGCCAGTTTTGACTGGAAAGAAGTATTTAAATTTGAGTTTAAAGTTGAAGTGTTAGATGAACCCCCAAAGTTCCGTCTGCAGGAGACATGTCAGATGCCACCAGACTTATATACTTGTATAATTCTGATTTGCCCTGTTTAATACTTTGGTGGAAGGGCTGGAGCTGCGGGATCTTTGTCTGTTTGCACTGTCATGGCCCGCAGGTTTCTTGTTTCTGCTTTGTGTTAGCTGTTCCCTTTTTGTGCGCTTCCTTGTCCTTCGTCTAATCGTTCTTGTGGAACTAAAACCCTTTCACGTTGGATCAGTACATCAGCATTTTGAGTTGGGACCATGCAGACAAACTTGGTTTGTTCGTTGTTGAGGTTTCCTTGGAAAGCGACCGGTCTTGGAGTAATTGGGATACTGTGGCACAACACGCCAATAGTCTTGCATCAGAGTGGTTTTCATCCAGTCGGAACTCTCATTTGTCTTTCTTGGTGTTGTCCTCTTGCAAGCAAAGGGAAGGCCTTGAAGGAAAGTGGCATGGGACACGATGCATTTTCTGGGAGATGATGACATTTCCAAATGCACACACTCGTGCCGCAATTGGGATAGATATTTTATATTTTATATTCTCAGTGCCTTGTCAAAAGAGGGACGACATGACATGCCCTATTTTCAACGCACTGTTGAAGCGTGCACGCCCCTCTCTGTTCTGGTTAATTTGACAGGCGTCCAGCAAAGCAACCACTGGACTTCATGGGTTTCAGCTAGGTGCGCTTGCAGCAGGCGCAAGCCGCGTTTTCCACTTCAACGTTTCCAATGGTTTCCTTCTGTGGCCTTCGATCTGTTCGACGCCGTGTCCCAGGAGCTGCCAGCGTTGGATCCTTGGGACGGCGCCGTCCCAAGGGTCGAGCCGCCGGAAGCGTGGCTTGCCGCGCCAATCCCATTGCGACCTGCGAGACGAGTGGCTTGGCTTCTTTTGGAGAAAGGGGTGTCCCACCAGGTCACTCGAAACCTCTCTGACAGTCTTTTTGGACTGACTCACTGACCTCATGATTCAATGCATATTTATATACTTCAAGATCTTCAAGACTTTTTGTACCAAATAGTGGGTCCAAGAAGTGACCCCGTCAGACGTGCATTGGTGGGACCACAACTTTAGTCCATGAAAGGGACATTTCTTGAAATGGGGACACGTCCTATCAGTTCTTGGACTTCTTGAATGATTGGTGTTCACCCTCCCAGCTGGGTGTCCACATTGGTATGGAAACAGCAGGCATGGGCAGCTTCAAGGTGGAGCTCTTCTTGGATCAGATGCCTTTGACGGCCTCCAACTGGATCGACTTGGCCAAAACAGGCTTTTATGACGCCCGGTTTGGAACTCAAAAGGCTTTGCAACTCGCTATTCCACCTCTTTTCTGGGGAAAGCGCAGGAATCAACATGGCCTCATGGACGTTTTCGGAGGCATCAAAAACATGCATTTGGTCCATCAATGGACTATGGACCTTCTCTCTCGCTTTCTTTTTCTGCCTGTCTTTGTCAGTCTGTGAGGATGGTATCCACTTCCACCGGGTGATCCCCAACTTCATGTGCCAATTCGGGTGCCCCTACGCCAAAGACCCCAAGAGCCCTCGTGCGGGCACCGGCGGCCCCACCGCCGGAGAGTTTGAAGTCTTGGGAACGGATCAAAAGGCCTACAGGGATAGCGGCGGGAACATCGAGGACGAGTTCACCACCAAACTGGGAAACGAGCCAGGTGTCCTGCAGGAGAGAACTTTGTATTTTTTTGCCCAAACTGATTTCGAATCTCACCTTGGCCTGAAGAGAAATGGCATTTTGTCATTTTGCCTTTGCTTTTGGGGTCTGCGCGGCTCTCTCTATTCTTCGTGCAAGCTCGGCCCGCTAGGCCCTCTCTCTTTATCTCTCCCAGGTACGCTGTCCATGGCCAACACGGGACAACCCAACTCGGGTGGCTCGCAATTCTTCATCAACGTGAACAACAACAGCTTCCTGAACTGGTTCGATCGCTCCACTCCTTCGGCCCATCCAGTCTTTGGCAAGGTGGTGGAAGGAGCCTCGGCGGAAAACGCGGCAGTGTGTCAACCTCTGTCTCTAAGAGATCTCCTGCATTCAATTTTTCAAACAGGGGAGGGAGTGGAGCAGGCCTGCAGAGCTCCACTTAACAAAGCTCTCTGCAGTGTCCTGAGGATATCACTGGAGACGTCCGATGACGTACCTGCTTCTTTCTAATGTTGACAAGCTGTTACTCCACTCTTTCTTAAAAAGCTAGTGCGCCGATGTTCAAACAATTCTGGTTTGCTGACTTTTCGCCATGCCGTTCTGCAAGCCAAGGTCTAACTGCTGTAAGGTCAAGGGCTAGTGCAATCGTGATTCAGTAGCTGAAATTATGCTCACCCCGGTGAGCTCTATATCTCTGTCAGTGTGTTCAGTGGCATCTTCCCACTGCGGTATGCCGTATGATCCCCTCGGGGCGCTTGCTTCAGTCCTTTGGCAAAGGCGAGCAGTTCAGGTTCCCGCCTTTTGCGCTGTAAGCCACCTTCGGTTCCATAGCTTGAGCTTCGAAAGTGCAGAAATTCTAGGGGCTAAGTATTCACATGTGTCTAATTCTTAATCCAACTGAGTAGTCCATGCATGGTCTTGCTTTCTCTCTTCCCTCAGCTTTTCTTTTTCTACGTAGGTCTTTCGTTCGTTGCTAGAGGCTTGTTAGGTTACAGCTTAAGATTTTAGTCAAGTGTGCGCCGATTTCGGCTTTCCGGACATGTGCCTTTCACCCCACCCCACCCCCGCACTCTTTCTCTCCTTGCCCTATTTCATTTTCAGGGTCTTTTCTTCAGGCTTGTTAGGTTGTCGTTTAGGCTCGTTTAGTCGATCCGCACCCCCGCCCCTCCCTCCCCGCTTTTGTTCCTTTCTGCTTTCGTTTCTTCTTCTAAGTTTCTCTTTCTCTCTCTCTCTCTCTTTCTCTCTCTTTCTCTCTTGTCTATATAGAGGTTATTTAATGTTATTTAGGTCGGCAATCAGGTTTTTAGTCAAGAGCCCGCCAGCCAGACCCGAAAAAAGATGCAGAGCGCCGATGATCGGCACACTGTGTGTGTTTCAAGTCACCAAACCAGAATTGTTTGAACATCGGCGCACTAGCTCTTTAAGAAAGAGTGGGGTGACAGTAACAGCTTGTCAACACCACAAATAGCAGGTACATCACTGGACGTCTCCAATGATATCCTCAGGACACTGCAAAGAGCTTTGTTAAGTGGAACCCTGCAGGCCTGTTCCACTCCCCTGCTTGAAAAATTGAATGCAAGAGATCTCTTTTTTGCCATGCCGTTTTGCAAGTCAAGGTCTAACTACTGTAAGGTCAAGGGCTAGTGCATTCGTGATTCAGTAGCTGAAATTGTTCTCACCCCGGTGAGCTCTCTATCTCAGTGTGTGTCTACTCAGTGAGACTCAATTCAGTGGGGTTCACACCACTGTCCGCAGTCCACCACCTTTTCTGAGCTCACTGATCCAGCCATCGTTCGAGGCTACGACCTGATCGAAAAGATCTCCCAAGTGCCCACGGACAGTGGTGACAATCCCAACGAGCCTGTGAAGATGATCAAGATCACGATCGATGGTGTGTGACCGGGGATGGAAGACCAGACCTGGGATTGATGGATGTTGCGGGAAGCAGACTCGTTCCTTCGTGGAGTGACTTGTGGGAAGAAGAGGGGGGGCGCCAATCCAAGTGGGTTCAGCAAAGATGTTCCGCAGCTTTGATCCTCTTCATCCCACCCACTCCATGAGAATCATCTTAGCCAAAATGCAGATTTTCACCATGGCAGCGGCTGAGACAAAAAGCGGCCACGACGGTCGCACGGCCGATCTTGATCAATTGGAAGACGACAACTCATTTCCCAAATGTGTGGAGTTCCTGGCACGGTCCATGTTTTGTGCTTTTAAGTTTTCAAACGTTTTCTTCATCTTTGTCACTTTGTTTCATCTTGCTTGGTTCTTGGGTCGTCTTGAGTCGAGCTCCCAAACTCTCAAGCTGCAGGCCTTCTACCATTGGATTATCCATGCATGCCAGACCAAGCTCCACAACCCCGAGGCGCAGAATCCGACTTCGCATGTTGACCGGTCCCGTCGGCTGCGGATCCTGTGCCTCTCAGCCGTGCAAAGTGTTTCAGGCCGCGCGTTGGTTTGCAGCTCGAATGGAAAAGTCCGGGCTGAAAGCCAATGCCAGGGCCTTGGAGGGGGCTGCAGAGCAGTGGCTGCAGCTAAAATCCTTTTGTACCCAAAGCCAAACATAGGGCGGACGTTAATCCAGGTTTCCATTTTTGTATGGTCTTCTGAGCGTTCTTTGGGAGACTTTTTTGCTTAAAGTCCTTCAAAGGTTCACCTTGAACGGGACACCCCGGGTGGACATCAGTCCGTGATCGACCTCTGAAGCTTCAGCCTCCAGACCATCTCATTCAGGTCGTCACGTTCAACTGTATGATTGGCTCCTGCTTCAAGAATGGTCCGGGAGCTCAGTGTTTTTCCTTTTCAGTCCTGGCCTGGTGAGGGGCTTTGTGGGGTATTTGGATTCTCCAGTGATGGCAAAAGGGTGCTGCGAACAATTCTGCTCAACAGAAGCTTCCATCCTCAACCATGAGACATGGACTGGTCCTGACATGCACCGAAGCTTGAGCAGCTTGAGGCGACTTGGACCTTGCACGCTCTTGGCCTGGGAGCTTAGCCGAAACGCTCAAAACGACACGAGCATCAAGGGCTCAACTCAGATTGGCTAACTAGATCGACAGCTTGGATCAGCTTGCATAGACCAAAGCTTGACTTGCTGTTGCATCAATGCCTCCCAGTCAGCCCCCAAGCCCACGAGGTCTTGCCCCTGTTTTTTTGTTCGAACGGTTTGGACTGGGGGCGCGCGACGCAGGGTTCGCGCCGAGCCCCTCGCGCGCTTCCGGGTGCAGCCCAGTCAGGAACCCCCTCTGTCAACATGACGGAGACAAAGTGCTGTTGTGTTGGAGCTTGGTTCACTATCTGGAAACGAACCAGATTTCTTGTTGATAAGGCTTCGTTTTGAAGGCTACTTGAAGGTACAGATCTTTGATTCACACTCTTCGATACTATGGTCAGGTGGGATGTCATGGTTGCCAGTGGCATCAAACCCAACCGCGTGACCTACAACATCCTGATCAGTTCGTGTGCCAAGGCAGCTCAAAGCTTTTGGCATCCTGATTGAACAGTTTGATTCAGATTTGTCCTCTGATTAGCAACCATCCTCATGTTGACCACATGCAGTGAATTGGGTATTAGTATATACAGTATACAGGAATGTCACCAACATCTCCTTTATCCATCATGAACCGCCAACTGCCTATGTTGTTTTGGTCCACTTATAGCATTTCCAGATTTCTTTGTGTCAGATGCGCGATGCCGCTGGCGCCGAGAAGTGGATGTTGCAAATGATCGAGCAAGGCATCGTGATTGTTCGGAAGGTGCAGTGATTGTTCGGCTCATGGTGCTCAACTGAATCCATGAACTGTGGGCTTACCTTGAGGCTCGGTGAGGCTTATGAGGCTCGGTGAGGCCTTCCGGCAAGCTGTCGAAGCAGGTGTGAGACCCTGTACCGTCTCCTTTACGGCAGTCATCAGTGCATTTGCCAAGATTGGAGTGCCTTGGGCGGCACCGGTTTGGGCGGTAGACGGTGGCGACCGGTGACCGGTCGGCTTCACTTGGAAGAGAGGGAGGTTCATCCGCAAAGCACAGAGAATGGCCGAGGATCTGGAATCTGCAGAAAGCTGGTTTGGGCACATGGAGGAGAGTGGGTCCAGATGCTTTTGTCTTCTCAAGTCTTATCCAATTGAGTGCAGATGGATAGTTCTGAAAGGCTGATGGACATTGAGAAAATTGAGATCTAGTCTAGAGTCTACACGGACATTTGCAACACTCAAAGCAGAGGGAGGGATCAATTTGACTGAGTGTTGACCTCAGGATCTTGACATCGGGTCATTCTGGGTCATTGGTGAAACCTTGGGGAGAGACCTCTTGACCTCCGCGCCAGGATTCGCAAGAGGCACCTTGGAGCAGTTGGGCGAAACCTCGCCCAGAGGTGTAGCGACGTCGAAGCGATCGATCGATGCGTGGGAGGCGTGGGGTGGAAGGAGAGTCAACTCTGGATCCCCCCATTGGGCCGATGGGCGCGATGTCCGTCTGGTGGTTGGAGCCACCCAGTATTTTGGGATGGTTGTTTGTACAAACTGTCGTAAACTTGTGTTGCTACGAGGGTTTGTTTGCCTTTGCTTGGGGTGCGTTGATTGTTTGAACAGCTGACTTGCTCGGAGAAAGGACAAGTCCGGTGTGGCAAAAGGCCACAAACTTCTGCAATTATGTTTTGCCAACGCTTGTGCTCCCACTGGGCACCTACAGGCACCATCTCGGATCGTCAGATCATTGGCTTTGACTGGGCCATGCAAGAACAATCGCCCCCATCTTGTAGGCCTTGCGGCTTCGACAGGACTATCGTGTGAGCACTCAAAAGGGCAGCCTGACATGTCTGGGCACCGGGCAGCCTGAGACTTTTTGGGCACTGGGTTGGGCACCAGTTGCAGATGCTTTGTGCACTGAGGCAGCGGATTCGGTGGTTTACAACAGCATGATCAACGCGTGTCTCCTCCTCAGCCCTTTCATGACGTAGGCTACTGAAGTTTCGATCCGTCACTAGTTTGCATGGCTTCGCATCGCTTGACCGTGCTTTGTCATGGCTTCCGTGTTGCTGTGGACTTGGCCAGATCCATTCGACGCCATTCTGTGTCCACAGCGACCCATTCGACGCACTTTTTTCCCACTTCTTCGACGGATCGACTCGACGAATCGCCTCTGCTGCCCGCTTTTCGGTGCCAGGTGCCAAGGCCGGCGACATCGAGCGGGCTGACCACTGGCTGGAACGCATGTTGCAGGTGGGCATCGACGGCGAGGGGTCGCCGAAAGGGAGGGAAAGGGATGAGGGGTTCCATGCGCCGAAGGTAGTCATGATCTTCAGTTCTGTGCCCCATGTAGAACTGTGCGCTCTGGTGACGTGAGTCTTCATGTTTTGGCCTCCATGTTGCCACCCATTGACTCAGGCTGGCGTCAAACCAGACGACAAGACCTACAACAGCGGGGGTGCAGAGTCATCGGCTGTGGTTTTGATGTTCCAGACGGGGTTTAGCTGTTGGCATTGCTTGTCCTTGTCCTTCCCTTTGGCTGGACGGGTTCGCGGAAGGTCTGATGCATGCTTGTGGCCGCAACGGAAATCCTGAACGAGCTGAGCTTTGGTATGCGTGCCTTGAGAGCAATCTGACTCCCTTTGTGACGCTGGTTCAACATGTTGACTTTCAAAACAAACTGGGCTGCAATTTCCACAATTTCCACAGAGTTAATCGATTGATCAACCATTACGAAAGCCAGCCGATAGGCTAGGCTGAAGTAGTGCTACGAACGAAGTTCGTAATTAGGGGGTGTGGGGGGGGAGACGGGCGGCAAGTGATGTAAACCACGCTAGCCTGCTGGTGTTTTTGGATTGCCAAGAGGATGTTTTTTGTGGCTTGGTATCTATAGGACATCCCTCGTTCCAGTCACTTGCGAAGACTACTCCTATGATTCCCCAAGACCACCCCTTCAGCTTCAATACCTTGCTTTGACATGTCAACATGGAAGGCACATGCCTGGTAGTAGTTTTTGATCTCATTGTCTTTGGGTCGGATCACCAAGCTATACAGATTTGCATTTACTGGAGTCTCTTCTGCACTTGGAGTGGTTCATACGTTCCACGACCTACCCGGCCCCGCCCCGGTAATACCGCAGAAACATATATAAGTTACTGGGGTCTGCAGACGGACCACGAAAATGAACAGTATGTTTTGCATCATGCTATGTTCCTGCAGTCGCCCCAGTAACCCGTATTTTTGGGGCTATTACCGGGGGCCCAAATACCAGGTGTACCTGTCAGTCATGGGCGGGGAGGCTGACCTTGCCGCTTTCCGACGGGGCTTGACTAGCCTCTGTTGTCGTGGCTACTGTTCATCTTCATCGCTTCCATGTGTGTGTGGTGCGGAGTAACCTCCAAGGAAGCCTCCTAACCTTTCCTAACCAACGCGTCTCCGTCACGGCGTGTTCCTCCAATGAGCCAGCAACAAAAGCCAAGCGCAGGCAGGAGTGGGGACAGCAGTCCAAGTAGGAAATTCAAAAGGAAGACCACGGCCTTAACAACCGTATCCACCACAGCAGTGAAGGTTGCCCCACCAGAGTTGCAGTGGCTTATTGAACATGGCTGAACGAACTGCGCATATATATATATATACGAGAGAGAGAGAGAGAGCGGGTGTGCTTGGGACACCGCACGCTAGCTCAAAGCCATTAGCAAACACTATAAATACGGTGCGAAATATCAAAAACTGCTCTGGGACCTAGGCGAAACGCATGTTTTTCAACCTTCCTGTGCCCAGTCTGGATGTGCAATGTCAATTACAACAATTAACAGCTCTGTGTCTGCCCACTATGAATGTGTAAGACCAATGACAAATAGGTTAACCTTTCTCTGCGCACAATGAATGTAGCAGCGTGACCGAATATAGATGTAGTACTACACACATATATATATATATATATATCAAGATGAACATGTATGCCAATGATATTGCTTTAGTCTCTTGCTTATCTGGCTTTTCATGATGTATCTTTACGTGCCCTTTTTGTAAAAACATCTCCCAGGGCACCCGTATTGTTAATACACAGGGGCCCCTCCACCCCCCTCACTTTGACCATCAAGTTCATTCCAGATTCTGAGAAAGGAGCTTAAGAAGTACATGAATGAATCTTTACTTAGGACAAGTTCCTGGAATTGAGATGAAAGAGACTTCTAAGAAAAGAATTTAATAAGGAAATGACATGAATCCTTTATCAGCGCAGAAAGGAAATTCCAAGAAAGGCTGTTAATAAGGAAATGAAAAGAATCTTTACAGAACAGAAAGGGAATTCTAAGAAAGGAACTTAATGAGTGAAACTAATTTTTACTTAGAACAGAAAGGGAATTCTAAGAAAGGAGTTAAACAAGGAAATGAAATTAATCTTTATCTTAGATTCTTAGAGCAGGCAACAAACGTGTTTAGCTTTATTTAGGGTGCGCTCTACTTAGGGTATGGTGGCTGCATGAGGGGTAGTCTTTCCAGGGTCGTTTTGATCGAACTTGAATGGCTTTTAAATAAGGGTTCTAAAGATTTTCTACGCAGGACTTGCGTTCAGGGACACTGTCGGAAGCACAGCGGCACCAGTATTCGGCAAAAGCCGTTGTAGAAACTTTCAAATCTATGCGACCGTGTCAGAAATGAAATGAAATGTATTAAAAAAGACGGCCACTTTTCACGAATGCCAGCTGCGCAACAAAGCTTTAGATTCTAGAGAAAAAAGCCTACGAAAAAGAAAGCAACACCAAACAACAAAACACAACATTTGAGCAAAAACGTGCAAATCCTATACTACCACCATTTTGTCTCAAGCTGTTTTTTGTTTTTCACGAAAGCCAGCTGATAGGGGTAGGGTGGGAACGAAGTGAGTAAAGGGGGTGTGGGGGGGGTGGGTGCCACAGGGCCAATTTCGGAGAGCTAGAGCCTGACGGAGAAAAACGAAGAACGAGGTGGCCAGGAGGTATTGAAAATGAGTGGTTTTTGGGGTGCTGCGATGCAAGTGATGTAAAGCTTGGAGTTGCTTCGGGTTGCGACGCCGGCAACCGTGCGCAATAGGGCACCCCATTCTTAAGAGCAGGAGAGAGAACAGATTGCAGTAGCGGGCAAGCTTTGCGTTGCTTGGGGGCGCCCTGTTTTGCTGGTGGAGAGGCCTAGTTGCCGGACTCAAACGGGCGCCCCATATGGGGTGAAAGTTCATGTGGATGAGACAGGCGCAGCGGAGGACACCAAGGGTGGGAGTTATGTCGACGCAATAGGGCACCCCCAAAAGGGTGCGAGTGCGTGTAACGATGCCATCTGTTGAGGGCAGGAGAGAGAACAGATTGCAGCGGGCAAGTGTTGAATTGCGAGGGGGTGCCCTTTTTCAAGTGGTGAAGCGGCCGCGTTGCCGGACTCAAAAGGGCACCCCCTATGGGGTGGGAGTTCATGAGTTCAATGTGGATCACGCACAGCGGAGGCGGAAGGTTTTGAGTTGCTTGGGGGTGCTCTTTTTTACCGGCGGAGAGGCCTAGTTGCTGGACTCAAAAAGGCCACCCGATATGGGGTGGGCTGGCTTTCGTCCCCTCCCTTCACAAGTTTTCTATTTTTGATTTTTTGTTTCTTTGAGGCAAAAAGTCAAAATCCTACACTACCACCATCTTGTTTCAAATGCAGTTTTTTTGTGTGTGTTTTTTGGTTTTTGTGTGATAGGCCTGGTCCTCACAAAGTTGATTTAAAAATGACTGAAAGCTAAGGTTTGGGGATGTTTTAGCTGACGGGCTTAAAACCGCGCGTGTAGTGAAGCTGATTTTTCATACAGTCCTTTTGCGGGGCAAGAACACACACAAACACACGCATTGGAATATGGAAGATGGGGGCAGGGGGGGGTTCGGTGGGGGGCTAGTGATGTTCATGTTGTGTGCATTTGTACTAGGAAGCGATTGGGTGGGGGGTTAAACACGTTGCATGTTCAGTGCATCATAGTGCATACGAAGATAAAGCCGGGTCTCCCTGACTGAACCGTTGTAGTCTAGCTTTGTGGGGTGTTCGTTCCACATTTATCGTCTACCTCGGATGCGACCGTAGCTATGCCGATCGTCCCATGATCTCCGTTTTGTGTAAAGAAAAGGTTGCGGTCAGGAGAGCTGCTCATCCACACCGGTGCCATTGATGGTATGTGGCGTTTGTGTAAGGAGTCGGTCCCCACTAGCTTGCGTTCACGCGACGGTGACGATATAGACCCAAACATCATGAAGTTCATTCGACAGTGCGCGCGAATAAAGACGATCTTCTGACGAAGCTGGGTCAGAAGTTGTCCAACAGACTTTGATCTGATGATGATGCTGGAGGATGAAAAAGCGCACGAAACCACAGTCTCGTAGCATTTCGATGTCAAAATCGCCCATGCTCCTCACAAAATTCATCTAAAAATAACTGAAAACCTGGGTTTTGGTGATGTTTTAACATATACGCACACACACATACATACATATATATATATATGTACCTCGCTCGTCGGACGGTCAGGAAGTCGCGTCGACGGTCCGGTATGGTTGACTCTCTGGTGAATTCACCATGGGAAAGCACTCAGTCTACAAATGAGAAAACGTCAGACTGGATGGTTCGACCAGCGCCGCAGCGTAAAGTATGTGCAATGTTCAAAAGCGTACAGGTGTCAAGGAACTGGGAGCAAGTGTGCGCCCGGCAGACTTCACGAAAGTCGCATGAAAGGATCCAGGGCACAATTGTACACGCTCATCTTTGATGAGGTACTGAAAAGCCTGCCGAATTTTACAGGCAATGGTATGAATTGTGATTTCGTTGTAGTCTCCAGCAAGTCTGTATCCAGCGGTGTGGAAAGCAATTGCCAGCTCGCAAAAGGCAATACTCGCATCCTCTTTCTGTTGCCAGCGGAGCGTGCGAGCCCATGTGCAAATGGTGTTCGACTCCTCTTTGGTATGTCGCCATGTTGCAGGAGGCGGGAGACCAGTGGGGATTTTTGGTCTCCACCGAAAGGTCCTTGGCATCGGTGACCAGTCCCATTGGGAAAACGTGGCACGTGCTTCGGCTTCAGTCAAACGTACAGCGTCCGTAGAGGCTGGTTCTCCATGGCCTGGCTGTATGTCTATTTTCGTATCAAGCTGACAGTGAGTATGAACTAGCCATTCTTGATGAGAAATTGCAGCTCGTCGCATTTGGGAATCCATTCCAGCAAAAATTGGAGCAATGCTCGCTGCGCAAGATTTGGCTGCGTGATCACCTGACGATTGCGGGCAATGTGCTCGAGTGTAGTGCCCGCTGAGGTGGCTTGTTGTTCAGTGATCTGAAACAATAAGTCAATAAGTCAAGGTTATCAAAACAGTGGGCTGGAATCCACTGGATGCATATGGGGTTCGGATGTTGGGTAACACGAGTTCGAAAGACCTCACGGATGGCGTACCATCAATCCTGACACAGCCAGTGTGGTGGGATGTCATCATGTCGAATCAAATGCAACAGATTGTTGACGACTGCTTGGTTGTCACAGTAGACCTGGAGGGGGGCCTGCGAGTGACTAAACGCAATCCAAATGGCCCAGAGTTCCGCTACAAAACTTGTAA